TAATGAAGTACCTACATCCTCCTCTAGTTAATTGGCCATGAAATTCACAAATATCAGAATGTACTAATTCTAATAATTCTGAATTTCTGTCAAGCGACTTAGGAAATGGCTTTCTCTTCATCTTAGCTTGCACACAGATTTCACATTTATCTCCACTGTCATCACCACAAACTACTAATCCATTTCTAGACATGTATTTCCGAGTCTGAAAGTTAACATGCCCCAATCGATTATTCCATAAATCAAATGAAGTACTTTCTATACTACAATTTGCATGCACGTCGATATAAGCAGAACCATCAACTTTATTATTAATATTACCATTGTCAATACTTAACTTAAACATACCATCACTAACATAGCTCTTCCCAACAAACATACCAGCCTTGGTCAAAATCACCCTATCAGATTCTATCACAACCTTTATACCATTCTTACAAAGCATGAAACCAGAAACCAAGTTCTTTCTAACATCAGGAACGTGAAGGACATTGGTGAGAACAACTTTCTTCCCCGAAGCGAAGAAAAGCTCCACGGTTCCAGATCCAAGAACCTTGATCGTGCGATGATCACCCAACAGAACCTCATGTCCCTCCGTCGACTTTGTGTAGTCCTTGAACATGGCTTTCTTGTTGAAAATGTGAGCAGTTTCCCCCGAATCATACCACCAATCAGCACTGGTCATGACCCCAACCATGTGCAATTCTTGAATCATACTCACATGTAAGTCAGAAATCATTGCAACAATCTCACTAGGCTCAACTTTCTCAATCACATTTGCACTTGCACTTGCAGCCCCTTCATTCTGGTTCCTCTTTGGATTAGGACAGAAGCGAACAATATGTCCCAATTGCCCACAATTGAAGCAATTCTTAGTAGACATAGGGGTCGTCTTCTTCTTCTTCTGGTTGTTGGAATTGTTCATGGCCTTTCTCTTCTTTTCCCTCTTGTTCTCCAAAACATTCACTTTAGAACTTGATGGTGCCTCCGAATTCAAATACTTTTCACAGATTCGAGTTTCCTCCTTGATCCTAAGGTGCTTCTGAATCTGTTCCAAAGTGAACTCCTCTGACGTATGAAGTAATTTCTTCCTATAGTTGTTCCATGATGGAGGAAACTTCGCAATAATTGCCCCCACCAGAAACGCATCAGGAAGAGTTATCTTCAACGCACTGAACTTAGAGGCCAAGATTAGGAATTCATGAACTTGATCCATAATTGAACGCTTATCATTCATGCTAAATTCAAAGAACTAGAATGTGACAAGCTTATATGCGCTTTGTTTCTTTGATTTATACTAGTTCTCTAAAGATGTTCATATCTCAGTAGGGGTCGCCAACTGGGAGTACAGATCATAGAGGCGATCAGAAAGTGAATTGAGGATGTATCCTCGACACATCAGGCTGTCATCACTCCTCTTCTTGCGTTCAGCCTTCAATTCATCAGAGTCAGTGTCTTGTGGTCTCCTAGCGGCACCAAATCAGGATCCAGTATGTACACGATCTTCAAAGCAGTCAACAGAAACTTCATCTTCTCTTGCCAGCGGGTGATCGGTCCATCAAACCAATTGAGTTTGTTGGAATCAGAGGCATACGCCTTCAAAGTGCTCTCCACTCTAGAATCCATTGTCACACGAAATAAACACTCTAAGATTGTCAGGGAAACAGTATGGAAAAAACGGATTGAAGGAGTGATTTTGATAACTCTCCTTAGAGTGTTTATTTGCCCCCACTACGTTGTTGCTTGTAGGATTTAGGCAAACCACCCCCAGGAGTCCTTCCAATCAAAGTCAAAAAGTAGCAACTTTCGTGACTTCTGTGTTTGTGTTTTTTGTTGGCGTGATTATTGTACCCATTAGTAGTTTATTATTACTTTGGGTAGTTAATTGTATTTTGTGCTGCTTCTCCTAATTACCTCAGGTCATTGTCGATGGGTATTAGTAGGGCTTGTATGCTCAGCAACCGATGTATGCTTGTGTGTGGATTTCTGTTCCGCCACTCTCTCATATAGTGAAACTCATCTGAGAGCTCTGCTCTCCGTGGACTAGTCCTGTTATCGGGGAAACCATGTAAATCATCGTCTTCTTTATTTTCCGCAGTTACTAGTTTTACATTTTTTGAGAAGGAAAACGAGGAGAAGAAGATGATCGTTGGAACTCAATCTTCTGGCCAACGTCTCTTATAAGATTTGAGAAAATGGCAGTTCCCTTCTTAAAGGTTACGTCGTTTCACAAAACTCAAATTCAATTAATTAAATAACCAAAAATTAATTTCCGACCGCGTCACGCAAACGTGCTAAGTGCGTAGTGCGATTTAATATGTCAAATTAAATAGCTCACATTTTTTCCAAAAGCCCACTAACCACTTTATCCAATAACTAAAGTGGAAAGTAAACTTAAAAACCACTTGCACTTTCCTTCTCCCACCAATGTGGTATTTCCTTTACTCATTTTGACTACTCTAACACTATGCTCCATGTACTCATAATGAGATATCTCTATGTAGATCATGAATTAAACCGAGTTTGGGGTATGATACTATACCCCAATCTCAAATAGATAAACCACAGGCCCCGATTTTCTAATCCCAAACCCAAAGTTCAATTTAAGAGAAAAAAATAATTCACCGTTAAGATTGACCAAAGCTAATCCATGTAAATCTAACGGCTAGATCATCTGGAGCATACCAGTCGTCTCCATATATATTACAAGGAGACTTAAAAAGCAAGCAAATGAGATCAGCTGAAAATGAATTTCCATTAGCCGAGCACTCTAACAAACCTTAACAAGAAACTTTCTCCCCCCCCCCCCCCAATTCCTTCCCCACCAAGAAACCCCTCCCTTTCTCCCCTTCTACCACAATCACTCCATGAGAAACAACCAAACCCCATTATGGTACATATATATTTTTTCTTCTTCTTTTCAGGCACACCATGTTTCGGTATTTAGCGTCCAATGACAACGAATCAAGCACGTTTCATGACCTATTTAGTATCTAAAGCTACAACGTTGATTTCTCGCTGCAACAATGGAAAAAGGAGCAAGCGACAATGCATGAGAAGCTATACCTCAATGACGACTGTGTTGTTATTGTTGATAATAACATAGTACTACGCTTCTTCAATTTCAATCATTTCTTCATAGTGGGTTAAAGGCATGAGTTATTCATATTTTTCGGATAGTGCAATTTTCTTAACGATCGCACTACACCTAGGTAGTTTGTATTCGCCCATTCGAATTTAGTCACCAACATTTCATATTTTCAGATAGTGTAATTTTCTTAGAATCCACTCTATTCAAAAAATATTGGTTGGTTAAAATGTATTCCTTATTCACATATTGTTGACATTTAACATCCGAATTTTGACATCTTATATGATGTAGTTGAAGGGAAATGATGGACAATACTTACTACTAAGCAAGGATTGTGAAACCGAACATAAGGTCATGTATTTTCTACTAAAACTGTAGTTTAATCATTATCCAATCGTTTTCGTTAAAACCACTTACTAATTTGGATCGGGGTTTCATTATTTCCGGTTCGAACAACCACCATACGATTTGGCTACGAATCAACATACTCTACCCTTCTTATTTGCTAATTGGTAACGAACAAGGGCTTGGCCTAGCAATAGTCCAGTAGTCTAGAACCTGAAGATTCCAGGTTCGAATTTTTTAAGTAGTTCTTTTATTGAAAAAAAAAAACTTGTATCACCATTATAAAAAAAAGGGTTAATTGCATGGTTGGTCACTTGAATTACTAGTAAATTTCATGTTAGCCACTAGAATTACTTTATTCCATTCGTAGTCACTTAAATTAGGTTAACAGTTCAAGTTTGGTCACTGACCGTTAAACTCCGTTAACTTTTGCTGGTGTGGCGGTCAACCATTATAGTTGACTGTTAAATGAGTGACGTGGCAATTAAAATAATAATAAAATTTAAATTTTAATAATTTCCACCTCATTTGTACAATAAATTAAAAAAATATTAAAACGAAAAAAATGAATTTTTTTTAATAATTTCACAATAATTAAAAAAATGAGTTAGATCTAAGCAAATTCCCTTTCTGTCGATCCTCTCTTCCTCCAGATCGAGCTGCCTTCAACTGGTCCTGCTCTGTAACACAGCTAATGAGGCGCCCCACCACATCTCGAACCTGCGCCTCGAGGCTGGAGGATCGCTCCTACGCCATCTTCAGCTGCTCGTTTAAGTCTCTTGCGTCGATCGCTTTGGAGGAAGAGAGGAACTAGCAACCATATCCAGTAGCAGTGGAGTGGATGGGAATTTGCTTAGATCTAACACATTTTTTCAATTATTGTGACATTTTTTGTTTTAATTATTTTTTTAATTTATTGTAATAATGAGGTGGAAATTATTAACGGTCAATTATAAGAGTTGACCGTGACATTTTTTATTATTTTATTATTTTTTAATTGCCACATCACTTATTTAACGGTCAACTATAAGAGTTGACCGCCACATCAGCCAAAGTTAACGGAGTCTAACGGCCAGTGACCAAACTTGAACTGTTAACCTAATTTAAGTGACTCCGGATGGAATAAAGTAATTCTAGTGGCTAACGTGAAATTTACTAGTAATTCAAGTGACCAAACTTGCAATTTAGCAAAAAAAAAAATAAGTAGGCGAGACAATACATAAAAGAGGGCTGGGCTTGTTTTGGATCAAGAGGATCGGTTGGACTGGGCTTATTTTGGATTAAGTGGGAATAAATGATAGCCCAGTAAGTTCAACTTTAAAATAAAATTATAAAATAAAAAATCGACCACAGTGGGAGTCGAACCCACGACCTTCTGATCCGAAGTCAGACGCGCTAATCCACTGCGCTATGCGGTCTTATTGTTTAGTGTTTCACTCAGCTAATATCCATCATTTTCATAGATCACAAATTGCCAAACGCTACCTTATCTTTACCACATTCCCATTCACACCCCAACTCTTTAACGCTTCCTCCATTCCCCCTTCTCACTTTCCCCGACTCTCTCCATCTCCTCCTCGAATCACCCCTCAAAATCTAGGGTTTCTGCGTAATTCTGCAGTTCTGCCTTCAACCCACCGCCGTCGCGGCTCCGGTAAGCTCCCCCTCCGCTCCTTCACTGTCGGTCTCGCCTCTACTCCAAACTCTCCCTTCTCTTATTGTCAATTCCGTTGTCTGCAATTTCACACTGTTTTCCTTACTTCACCAGCTGCGAACGTTAGACACTTCAGTCACTTTTTCTCGTTCCTTCTTGACGACCCATCTTGTCAATTGACCTGTCCATGGCGATTGAGTTTAGTAATTGTTCAGCTTTTTTTTTTTTTGCTTCAGTTTGACCAGCTGGTGAATTGCAATTGACCCTGTTTTCATGAGGGCTTTTCTGTTTCCGCTGATCCAGTGTCTGCTTTCTTTGTCGCTTGTGGGAACGACGGAGATGGGAGTTTAAATGATGACTCTTTTTGGAAAAATTAACTATTGGATTCTGAACTGTTTTCTCTTTTCATCTTTCAGGTGAGTGTGATTCGTGATGCCGAGGGCAAAGCTTATACTCATCTGCCAGTGTGGCGGCGAATTCACGAAACATGATGACGGCACCATGTCATACAGCGGTGGAGATGCCCATGCTGTGGAGATCAACAGAGACACTGTCTTTGATGATCTCAAGCTCAGGGTTGCAGAGACCTGCAACTTGGAGCTTCAATCCGTCTGTATGAAGTATTTCATCCCGGGGATGACCAAGACCCTGATCACATTGTCCAATGATAAGGATTTCAACACCATGTATGAATTCTATGGCGAATCGATCACCGCGGATATTTATGTCACGGGTACTCAGGGGTTCGTTCGTGCAACTCCGACGCCATCCCCTAAGAAGCGTCCTGCTCCTGCCTCGTTGTAAGCTTTCGTTTCATTCCTTCTGGAAACTAATGAACTATTCATGGTTTTGTTAGCTAAGTTGGAGGTCACTGCTTTGGTGGTTTGTAGGGGACGTGTGGTTAAAGCACTACCTGCAACAACTGGGATGCTTAAGAGGGCAGCATCCAAATCTAAATCAAAGTCGAATTCAAGATCAAGATCAAGATCAAAATCAGCTGCTGCTGATAGTCCAAGTTCGAGTAAATCATCACCTAGCAGTGATTCTGATGACTCCTCGCCTGACACTGAATCAGCTGGAATAGAAACACCACAAAGTCCGACCAGTAAAGTTGTTGATGTCCCAATTACATTTGATCTCGCTGCTACTCCTGCTGATACAGTAAAGAAGAGAAGGCGCACTGCTTCATGGAAAATTGGCACCAATGGTCGAATGACGATTGGTTCTTCTGCTAACGAGGGGGATTCTAGAATAACTGCATCGTGTATAAAGACCATTAGGAATCTGGATCCTTCAGTTGGAGGAAGTGGTACTGAATTGATGGTTATAGATGAACATACGAGAGATGGTTCATTGGACCAGTTGGTGGCCACTTGGAGAGATGGAATAACTGGTATGGGTCAGGAATTTGAGAGCGTGGTCAAGTTCCGTGATGCCCTGCAGAAGTACGCCATAGCACATCGATTCGGATATAAGCTTAAGAAGAACGACTCAAATCGAGTCAGTGCCGTGTGTGCTGCCAGAGCTTGTTACTGGAAGATATTTGCCTCGTGGGTCCCTAATGATGAAGTTTTACGTATCAAGAAAATGGATGAACCACACACTTGTGGGGAGGACTCTTGGAAGTCGGTTCATGCATCGAAAAATTGGCTGGTGAATGTTATCAAGGAGAGACTCAGAGAGAGCCCACATCACAAACCCAAAGAAATATCTAATGGCATATTTAGAGACTTCGGGATTGAGCCGAACTATGCCCAAGTTCGACGTGCAATCGAACAGGCCCGAGAGGAAATGCTGGGCTCATACACAGAGGCATACAAGAAGCTGCCTTGGTATTGTGAGAGATTACAGGAAGCAAATCCCGGTAGCTCCACAAACCTCGTCGTTGATAATGAGAGCAACAAATTTCAACGCCTTTTCATATCGTATCGTGCATTGGTAGAAGGTTTCCAGAATGGTTGTCGCCCGGTTCTTTACCTGGACTCTACCCCTCTGAGATCGAAGCACCATGAGATTTTGTTGACTGCTAGTGCATTAGATGGAGATGATGGAATCTTTCCTGTTGCATACGCAATTGTAGATATAGAGAATAAGGACAGCTGGCATTGGTTTTTGGTGCAGTTGAGGTCTGCAATCTCGAGCTCAGAGCCGATAACATTTGTCTCCGACAGGGAGAAGGAGCTGAGAGAGTCGATGATCGAAGTATTTACCGGTTCGTACCATCGTTATTCACTATATCACTTGCTGGAAGAATTCAAGAGAAATCTCAAGGGCCCATTTCATGGAGACGGCAGACCATCTCTGCCTGTAAACATGTTGGCTGCTGCATGCACTCGTCGGCTCGAAACCTTCAACATGCTCCTTGATCGTATTAAAGAGGTCTCTATAAAAGCTCATGAGTGGCTTGTCCAGATTGACCCTGAACTTTGGGCAAGTTCGCATTTCAAAGGCGAGCAGTACACTCCTGAGAAACCAGACTCATTCAGTACTGCAAACTTCTACTCAAAGTGGATCGACGAGGTGCGGGAGATGCCGATTACAATGAAGCTAGAAGCGATCAGAGGAAATATAATGGAGTTGATGCAGAGTCGTAAAACCGAATCAGATAGCTGGATGACTACTTTGAGAATCACTCCTTCCAAGGAGAAGAAGCTTCAGGAGGAAGGGGCGAGAGCTCGATCTTACAAGGTGCTATTCTCAAATGGGATCCTGTTTGAGGTTCACGACGGTTTGATCAATGTCGTGGATACCGACTCGAGGAAGTGCACATGTTTAGAGTGGGTCGTGAATGAGTTTCCATGTCGTCATGCGATTGCTGTCTCTCTTCGGACTGGACATGTGGCGTATGATTATTGCTCGCAATACTTCTCAGTCGAGAAATATCGTGCGGCTTACTCTGGGTCGATAAACCCTGTTACAGACCCTTACAGTCCTCCTGAGGAAGAAAACGATGAGGAGATGACCGAGTCTACTGCAGTTGTGCTTCCTCCTACAACGCCAAGGCCTCCGCCTTTGCCTAGGGAGAGGTATTACAAAAGTAGAGGGGAACTAAAGAGGATAATCTTGTGTACAAGATGCAAAGGCGAAGGGCATAACAAGGCTACTTGTAAGGAGCCTCCTTCGGAGGAGGGAGATAAGGAGGCTGATGGAGCTCAGCAGCCAGAAGAACAACACCTGCTTGAAGAGCTGGACCAGGGGGAAGAATCCACGGAGAAAGAAAGCAGCAACCTAGGAGAACAGAAGTTGAAAGCTTTGTGCACCAGGTGCAAGGGAGAGGGACATTACGAAGCCACCTGCAAGGAGCCTTTGATACTAACTGAGGAGGTGAACAAAGATGAATCGTAGAAGATAATTTCATATTTGGGATTACCCTTGTATCATTGCTCTGTACAGTTTCCATTGCTCGACTGAGGAACTCTATTAGTATTTTCAAGGAGAAATGCAACTTATCTGTTTGCTTGACTTGCCCTTGTGATGTTAGTTGCAGTGTGACACTCTTGAAATTTTGATGTTAAGGCCGAAAACATTTAGGTACTAAATGATAATCCTTGTCCAAAATTCAGATATAGTTACAGGGATTTGGATGAATTAAACTGGATCCAAACCAATTGGAAGCCACTGTTGCTCGTCTATTAGTACTCAACAGAGATACTTGCCTGTAACTGAACATAATAAGGAAGCCATTGTTGCTTCTATAATCCTAGCACAGCAGTGGTTAAACAAATTACAAGGTACATTGTACCCAGCTCAACCGAAAGTCGTAGAAATCGCACCAGAGACACTCTTACATTACAACAACCAGACGCCACCTATATCTCTCTCTAGTTATCCATCTAAAACTATCTGCTGTATATCTACAGAAGTTACAGATCGTGTGTCCACTTCAGTTGAGAGAGGTAATCTACACACAACACTGTGGGCATTGAGGGTCACTTGTGTTCTCGAGGCTCGTATTCTCCTCCAAACATTCCGCATGATACATATGGCCACAAACCAGAACAGCTACAACAGCATATTCACCGGAGGATGATGGCAAGTCACCAAGGGAGTAAGGCTTTCGTCTCAACAGCTTCTGGCAGATCCCGCATACCATCTTTATTGAGTCTGAGGAGGATACAGCATCTGTTACTAGTGAGCTGAACCGGATCCTCTCCGGTCGGATGAAATCAGCTTTTTCCCAGTAATCTGAGAGAGAGGAATGTGTATTAGGGAGATAAAAAATAAAAAATAAATAAATAAAAAGTGGAGAAACTACAAGCAGATGATACTGGGCTAATGTCCATACTGCAATACGTTAACCGGAAATGGAAGCAATTAACTACCCCTACCACTATTGCAGCATGCACAATAAGGAAAAAGTAAACTCAGTCGTAAGGTTAACTTCACCTCCCTGATGCCTGAACTGTAGACTTGCTTCGTGTTGACTGCCAAACTTGAAGGGGAGTCTCTCATCGTGTGAAAGGTGGTGATTCCTCCCATGAGAAGGCAATGATGGACCAGCATGGCTTCCTGTGTTCCTACGAGAGTAATGATGTCCATAATGATGACGTGATCGTTTCAGCGATATCGATCGACCAAGGTTGTAGTGCTGTTGTGAGAGAGACGAGTGCAAGTTGAGCAATCTGGTGGAGTTCTCTTGTGCTTGCATCCCTAGCGAAGGAGGCTTCAGTTCAGCAGAATCGAGCAAACGAGAACGTCTCTGCGAAGGTAAGGATGACAGAACGTGCTTGATCACAATGTTAAAGATGATAAATTAACGTCATACATTGATTCTATCAAACGAACAATTAACCCAGACCACGCAAGAAAACCGAAATGAAACCAAAAAGACAAACCTCGTGGGGTAGTGATCCCCTTCCAGAAGAGAAGGGCATATCACCTGCATCATTCACATTCACAATATGAATCAACATATTCCGTCCAATATATATAGAGTAAACACGAGCCACAAACAGAGTTCTTATCTCACATAGCAATTGTTCGTTACGAGACCGCCGGTTTCTCTTATCTAAACTATTGTGGGGCACTCCCTGTCTAGAATACACAGGCAAAAGCCAGAAAAGGAAAGGATGCAGGCTACTGATCATACAGCAAGAGATCCCCAAAATTTGAAATGTGCCTCAGTTTGTTAGGAAGTTTCATGCTTACATCCATCCAAACCGCAATTCGAGTTTTCAATCCGAAAACTACAATTAAGGAAGATGCTATGCACAAACCACAAATACAACAGATTGCCATTGCTATCACGTCCTATCACAGAGTCTGAACAGTCTGATTCTATTCGTGATCATTCGATGTAAGCTCCACAATGAACAAAAGGGATTCGACATAGCCATCTCCAGCTTCTTGCATGTAGAGGCAATCATTTTGGAAGGCAAAAAAGACAATGACTGCATTATCAATTCCAAACAACATCATCTCTCAGGATCTCCATTTCCCAATTTTCGATTTGGTAAAATGACAATCCACAGCTCAATCAATCAAAGTCGAAAAACCAACTAAAACCAAGACCTAATCTTTCCTATTTGGACATTCTACATGAGTAAAAGATGCCAAATGTTTACCCAAAAGCAAACAAATCTCTCGGGAGTTCCCCCTAGATATCAGTAAATACAACAAACCCAGCTCAATCGATTCTCAAAGATTCATGCAATCTAGCCAAGTTAAAACACAACCCATCATCCAATTTCAACAGCTTCCTCAAATCCCCGTCCAAGCAACAAAATTTCCCCCGAAACCAACGAACCCAACAAGACGAAAAATCAGCCAAAATGAACGAAAGGATCGTACCAGAGGGAGATGGGGAAGAAGAAGGATCGGTTGGCGGGTTATGATGATGGGGAGCTGAGCCACTTCGCTTCCTCTTACCCATAACGAAAACAAGGGGAAAGAGACACAGAGAGACCCAGCGGCACCCTTCAATGGCGGAATTGGCTGCCGCAAAGAGAATCGCAGGGTTTTGACGAAGGGAGGACAAGAAGATTGTGGATTCGCGTGGTTAGAGGAAGAAGAAGAGGAGCATTTCGCTCCCAAAAAAGGGGGAAAAAGCTCTTCCCTTTTTCCTTTTTGGATGTCGGATTTCACACACAGCTACTGCCAGTACTGCTTTGCTACTATACTAGCTTAGCTACCGACGACTCCACGAAAGAGACGACGAGAAAATGAGAGCTGATGAAGAGGAATCAAATGAATGGAAAGGGAGAAAACTCCGTTCATCATCTGTTTCCTCCAACGCGGCGACACGTGCACTGTTTCCTAACTTCGCAGTATCGTATCATTTTCATTCTTTCGTGTCGAACTTCTCGCGGGAAATGGGGGAGAAAAGAAAAACGCCTGTCTTCTTCCCTTTCCTCCTCTGCTTTACGCCTTCTCTTCTCTTGTGATCAAGCAAAGGCTGCAGCTTGCGATCGAAAGAATTAAGTAACAAGCATATGGAGTGAAAGCTCAGCTGAATCCCACAAATTTTATTCAATGCTAATCAAACTTTTGAATACATAACTCAATCGACTCATCTCGGTTTCAACTTTCAACTTAACAACGTGACCTCCGTAATTCTTAAGAAAACGTTCTATGACATAAACTGATTGTGACTCTAACAACTCGGCTCAACAAACCGTTGATCACTGTCCTTCTAAGAGTTAACTTTCTTTGATTTTGTCCGAACAGCAGCAATCTGTCATCTCCTTTGATGCCAATAAGCCTCCGGATGTGTGTCTCTCGGGCGCCTAAGACCTCCACCAGCAGCACGAGGTGCACCATTGCCGTGCCAAGCTGCAGCATCCACTACTTCCGGAGCAGTACCCATTCGAGCACGCTCCATCCTGAATTCCTCCTCGAACTCTCGTTGCAGCTCCTCGAACTCCTTGTCCTCGGCTTCCATCTCCTCCATTGACCTCTCGACCGCTTCGTTAAAGTGATGGATTGATCCTGATAGTCGAAAACTGAACTTAATTAAAACCATGGAGGAAGACAGTAAAATTAACGGGGGAGGCATCAAACATCCACTACTTCCGGGGTAGTACCAATTCGAGCCCGCGGCGTCCTGGATTCCTCCGCTGCATTAAAATGCTGGATTCCTGATAGTCGAAAACTGAACTTAATTAGAACCATGGAGGAAGACAGTAAAATTAACGGGGGAGGCATCAAACATCCACTACTTCGGGTGGTAGTACCAATTCGAGCCCACGGCATCCTGAATTCCTCCTCGAACTCTCGTTCCAGCTCCGCGAACTCCCTGTCCTCAGCTTCCATCTCCTCCATTGACCTCTCGACCGCTGCATTAAAGTGCTGGATTTTTCCTAATAGTAGTCGAAACCGAAATTAATTAGAACCATGGATGGAGGAATACAGTAAAATTAACGGGGGAGGCAACAAACATCCACCACTTCCGGGGCAGTACCAATTCGAGCCCGCGGCATCCTCGATTCCTCCTCAAACTCTCGTTCCAGCTCCGCAAACTCCTTGTCCTCAGCTTCCATCTCCTCCATTGCCCTCTCGACCTCTGCATTAAAGTGCTGGATTGGTCCTGATAGTCGAAATCGAATTCAATTAGAACCATGGGAGACAGTAAAATTAACTAGAGGCAAGCATCAAACACCCAATACATCCTTCGGGAGCAGAGAACGAAAGAACACTAAACCACGACCTAGATTCCCTAATCCGTAAATTGAAGCAATTCCATTGTACACAACAGAGGAAGAACTGAGGGAAAACGTTGAGAAACAACAAACCTTCAGGGCGCTTCAACGTCTTCTTCAGTTCCCGGAAATTCGACATGACGGAGCAACACAATCGAAACCCTGTCCAACCTGCCAGTAAAAGAAAACACAAATTCAATCGAATCAGAACAGAACAGCAAAGGCATATAGGTCGATAATCGCGAGGGAGAACCAGACGGAAGCTCCGGCGGAGAGATTAGGAGGAGGAGGAGGAGGAGGAGAGAACTGACCTACAGAGATACGGCGACGGCGGGGAAGACTAGGTTTTTTGGATAGGGTTTGAGGGCGTTAGGGTGAAGCGTGGGAAGAAAGTAAAGCCGCGCGAGATCTGGATTTTGAGTATTTATAATCGAGTTGATTTTCATAAACATGACGGTTATATGCACGTATCAATATATTAAAGAATGTGGGATTATCAACAACAAGCACCAGTGGTCTAGTGGTAGAATAGTACCCTGCCACGGTACAGACCCGGGTTCGATTCCCGGCTGGTGCAATTCGAGAGCGGCCCGGCTGGTGCAATTCGAGAGCGGTGATGATTCCTGCCTCTGCGAAGTGGTCCTTCGCAATTCTCCTCATCTCTGATGGAAAACAAAGGCATTGCTGAGCTCTCTTTTTTAGCTTCTTTTTTTTTTCGTGCACATGATTATCATTTTGTTGTTTGAAATTTGAATATAACACCTGATCTCAATAGTTACCACCGTAAAAATACAGGGAATGGTATGTATGTCTAGAGCATGACATGATAATAGGCAAATTAAGAGACATGTTCATCTCTGTTGGGACAACTTGTCATTTCCTGTCAAGCACAACAAGCTAAACCAGGTTGACTACGTGTTCTTTGGAACTTCATAACCTGGCCAGACCGAAATGGATCATGAGGTCGGTTGGCTGATCACTAATGGTTTCATATAAAGCGTTTGGATTGCAAACTGAACTTTTAAGTTTGCTCCCCAAAACAACCTTTTTATCAGTTTATCACTCTGCTTAACCGAGTTGTGATGTTTCATTTGTTCAGTCAGAACCCAGTAGTTATATTGAGCTTCTCATCTCCCACATATGCTATGTATGAGCTCGTAACCGTCGATATGCTACCCGTATATATTTGGTATACAAGACAACGATGTTTGGAACCTCCCCAGTGGCGGATCCAGGGGGTGGCCACCCCGGGTCACGGCCCAGTCCTCCTCTGGATCCGGAGCTAGTATAGTCCTTCTGAGTTTATCGATTGTAGCCATTCGGTCTAGTGTTATTTTATAATAAGATTGTGTGTAATTAGGAAAATGGGTAAGATGAACATATTCAAATCACAACTCTAAATTTAGCCTGCAAAATCTAGCTCCAATGATTCTCATCTAAAGAAAAACAAACAATGAAACCTAAAATTCTAAAACGTAAAAGACTAAAAGAAATATGAGGTTTGTTCGCTTAAGAAATTACTAGAGCACCTGGTGAAAGTAGAAATTGATACACAATATATATTGATTAGTCAATTGATTTGTCTACTGTTGACATTGCTCGTTTCAACAACTACTATGCAGAGAACCTTTTCAATAATGAAATAGGTGAAAAATTATTTGCGCAACCAAATGAGCGATGAATTTCTCGCCAACTGGGTAACTATTTTATCTTAAAGAGAGTATGCTATTGGTATGGATGTAGACTCCATTAATTATGAATTCACTATATAAAAATTTAAAAGATCGACGTGTATAATTGATATTGTAAAAAAAACTATAATTTTGTTACGATATCTAATTTTTTAATAAAATGCGGCCCAGTGCTCTACTAGGTCCTGGATCCGCCGCTGAACCTCCCAATAATGACTATATATTAGGATGATAGCCCATTGCATATGACGGTGAGAGATTGGAAAAAGGCTTCGAAAATGACAGAGAAGCAAGATGTTCTGGGCAATGGAAGCGAATAATAATTTGATCCAGTGATATCAACTTAGAGATTCCAGGTTCAAATGCTTTAAGTAAAACCTAACATTAAAAATAAACATATGTAATCCTTATAAAGAAAAGATGTTCTGGCCAATGAAAAACAAGTTAGAAAATAGGAGGGAATAATGAGTTTGTTTATAGTTTTCATCTCTTTTTACGAATGAGCCAACGGTGTTAATCGAAACGGAAACAAAAGATAATCGACACGGTGTTTACGTGATTTCCTCGTTCGGAGAGAACGAGACTAGTCCAAGACCGAAGCAGTAATCTTCTTATTCAAATGATTGTTACAGCCTACATACGTAGGTTTATATATTCCTAATTAACCCTAGCCGAGTCTCTGGAGAGAGAGCACGGCTAACACACAAAAGGGCCTAACTCAATATATACACTTGGGCCGAGCCCTATATCTTCTCAACAAACGGTACGTGGTAGGGGGAATCATAAAAGGCAATAGTAAATACAGAGGACCTCTTTGTTATCCACCATCAATTTGGACGATAAGTATATTTTAGATCATTTTTAACATATGAAAACACCTTGTAGATTATTGTAAAACATTAATAAAAACTAAGTTATTTTTTCTTTTGGCATTGATTAGCTAAATTTCTCTTTGTCAAAAAAAAATTAGCTAAATTTCTAACTCCACTGCTAACTGTGTCCCTATCCGTAACACAAACGAATTTTATAAATATGAAATGTTATAATAGTAAGTTTGTTGGGTGTCGATGTAAACTTCTTATGTTGCGTATGCATCGATATGCTGCTCGTAGAAATTTTTCCATACGATATAGGGATGTCCGAAACCTCCAATTATGACTACTAGGATGATAGCCCATTGCACGCGTCGTGGAGAGATTGGAAAAGGGTTCGAAAAGGAAAGGGAGGCAAGGCAAGATGTTGTGGGCAACGGAAGCAAATAAGAATATGATCCAGTGATATTATCACTCATTTTCAACTTAGAGGTCCCATATTCAAATTATTTAAATAGAACCTAACAATAAAAATACACATATGTCATCCTTATAAAGAAACGATGTTTTGGGTAATGGAACATGCAAGTTATGAAATGGGACGGGATAATGATACCATGTGTTTGAAAACAACGGTTAATATTGGCGGTCGTGACTCGTGAGGACTTCAATACTTGACCTCGAAGACAAACCAACTCTAATACTATGTCATAAACCAATTGATACCAATAACTCGAGTTGTTGATAGATGCTAATGTGTGGTACTTAACCACTTAAGATACTGTCATTTAACCTTTGTCAACATTGTTAGGTTCCTAGCTAATGATTGTCTACCTATGGTATTGTCTCGCACCGTATTGTGCATTGCAATTCACGTTTAGTGTTCATGAAAGCATCGCATTACCTTAATCCAAGAAGAAAATAGAGGAAAATAGATGATCAATGTTTGATCTTTATTCCCAGGCTTGCTGGCTGGCTATATATTATATAAAGGTTAGGGAGTCATGTATTGTTGTGCTCACATTTCAACATCTCCCACTTGCCCTAACCACCAAGAGGGGTCTCCCAAATGGTATTCATGGGATGTTCTAACCACCTCGAGGGCCTCCCAAATGATAAGGCCCATCAAAACTAAATATATTACTATTACGTATTCGGTGTCAAAGTCAGGAGGGTTGGATAAATAACTCGAATTGTAACAATTTTTCACGATTGAACTTAAGTTTTGGACGAGGATGGCTGATGGACGTCATCCTCCTCCTGTCTCTTTATAATGTTTTCTCATTATAAGAATACACATATTATAATAAACTTAGAGATTTTTTTGAGAATGCGTGATCCCTCATGCAGTACACGTAGCTCCACCACTATGAGTACCCACTCAAATTTAAATTTGGAAGAATATACTATTTGGTGGTTGCTATTAGAATGCGTAACATTTTAGATAACTTTTTAACCCAAGAAACACCCAACTCGACCTGATCTAACCTGAATAAAACAATTGGGTTTTGATAAATTAAACATGCAATATATGAAGTATCCTAATAAAAAGATGATTGTGGGAAACTGAAACAACAAGCACCAGTGGTCTAGTGGTAGAATAGTACCCTGCCACGGTACAGACCTGGGTTCGATTCCCGGCTGGTGCAAACTTGAGAGCTGTGATGATTCCTGCCTCTGCGAAGTGGTCCTTCGCAATTCTCCTCATCTCTGATGGAAAACAAAGGCACTGCTGAGCTCTCTTCTTCTTCTTTTTTCTTTTTCCATTTTGTCATTAACCACATTTTCTCAAAAGTGACCGCTGTAAAAATAGTTCATTTCCCCTTCTAATTCCATCATTCATGGTGTCGGTAAAATCATCACCTTTGGCTTTCACAACAACTCCAGCTGCAGCAAATGCCACGATTAGCGATGGATGATTGGATATCCATGAGGAGGATAAGCTTCCACATCCGATCCACGTAGGTTTCTCTATAAAAGTTTTGTGTGAATGCTAGCTAACCTAACGTAAACCTTACTAGTCAAAGACTCAAAAGTCATGAACTTATTTTCAATGTTGATAGCTTGGTAAACATGACGTGTTAATAAATGTTTTTTTTTTCGATTTTAAATTACTTGAATCGGGTTGTGACATCGCACATCAATGAGTAGACTGTGTACATAAGAGTGGTTGTACTTGAAGATGATGTGTACTTAGCATATGACACACCACGTGAACTATGGGCATGTTAATTATTCTCGCTCGGTCAAGTTAACATTGATTGTGATTCTGTCAACCACAATTTACAAGCCGAGTTAGGCCATACAATTCTGCTTTGGAACTCCATAATCTTGCTCGACCAAATAGGGGCCTTGATACTTTAGGTTGGTGGGAGATCTTCGTTAATTTCATTATATGCAGTTACGTACGCTAAACCATATAGACATGAACTACTCTTTCAAGGTTGCTCACTATCGACCAAGACAACCTCCATCACGATTCTGCAACCATATTGCGTTTAATCGAGTTGTGAAGTTTCATTTGTTTATTCTAAACTCAAAGAGTCATTGAGATTATCATAACCGCTCACAGCCTTATATCATATGGTCGAGCTTTTAAGTGTCGAATCACGCTACGTACCACAAAAGCTCAGCCTATATAATATTAGTATTGTCTAACGATCACAAGGATACCTTGAGATACCATATACAACATATATCAAACCTTTAATTAATGATAATGATGTAATCTAACCGTCCATTTTTGCCATGGACATGCATTATTTGCTAATACAACCTAAGGTCACGAAGACTTGTTAATTATGATCAAAATCTACAAATACACTTATTAGTACTACGCATCGACCCAATGGAGAAGACCCAATGGAGAAGACGAGA